TAGGTTTAAGCCCCTGTAAAAATCCCGTGCTACATGAAGTAGGGCAATGTAAGCAACCTGTATTCTTATTTATAATTTTAAACGATGTTAGTTACATATCGGCAAATCTAGACTCAATTTTACCAGTTTTTTTCTGCAGGCAACAGGAAAAGGTTTGTCTCTGAAAACATTATCTGAGGGATACCTGGTAATTCTTTTAAAAATTGGATACCTGAGTTGAATCGCAGCTCATATGTGTCCCCAATTTATGCTGCTAGGTAAGACAAAAAATGGAAGAGCAGGTTGCTCAGAAATCGTCTGAACTGGAACAGTATTTACAGAGAGTACGTGAACTGGAAGAAATGTATAAGCAGCTACAGGAAGCTTTGGAGGATGAGAAACAGGCACGTCAAGATGAAGAGACTGTAAGGAAACTTCAAGCCAGGTATGGCTTTGACCTAGTAGAGATTTATTTCAATTCTCCCTGCCCCCCGCCCCAATAATAAATAGCTGTGCCAGAGTAGTAAAGACTGTTTGCATTCTGGACATGCTGCTTGAAGGGGGAAACTAGCTTGAAGTCCAAACACAGGACAGGTTGTTTTTTTGTTTTGTTTTTTTCCCCTAAGCTATGAAGGCTAAAGTGGGGGTATTTATGATTTTTTAATATGTTTGATTAGCCCTTAGCAGTGAGAGTGCTCAGCAATTTCAGAAAAGCAAATGGGCTTATTTTTCATCAGGTGTTGTGCATGTCAGCACTTTAAAAACTGAGATCATGCTGCACAGAATTTTCAGTTACGTATTTTATAAAGCAGCAACTGCAAATATGACTATCTGCTGTATTTTCTCACAGGTTTAAATTGTAGTTGGTAAGGGGTTAAGTCTCCTCTTACTCATATCGGCTTTGTTTAGTGTGGTTTGTTTCTTCATATATTCAGTCCTCCTAAGACAATTAAGATAATTTAAACATGCTTGTTTCTTCTATGGTTTTCAGTGCTGTGTATTTGCATTATTGACTAAATTTTCTGAATAGCCCTTTGTAGCAGTCAGACTGCACTGCTGGCATGAATTTCAGCTTTACACTGAAGACAAGCCAACAAGCAATAACTTTTTTTTCTGCTTCCCAAGTATTTAAAAAAAGAGGAAAGAAAATAATTAGCTTGGCCTTCCTGCATGTATGCTACATCATGGATACAGCTGACTTTAAAGTGCAGTTAACATTGCAATCTCCATTGCAGATTACTGGAAGAGGAGTCAGCAAAGAGAGCTGAGCTGGAAAAATGGCACTTGCAGCAGCAACAGACCATTCAGATGACAGAAGCAGAGAAGCAAGAGCTAGAAAACCAGAGAATGATAAAGGAGCAGGCTCTTCAGGTTGCTATGCAGCAACTGGAACAACTTGAACTGGAAAGGAAGGAGGCCCTTGAGCAGTATGAGGTGAGCTGTCCTGTTCATGAACCTCTCATACTTAGCCAGGTATTCAGTAGTTTAACTGAATTTGAAGTTCATTAGTATCATGCTTCTTTAAAGATTCACATGGCACAAAATTATAAGAACAGATAGGATAGATATGTGTTGGGTTTTTTTTGGCCTGGACCAGTAGATAGAGTTGAAGAAGGGAACATGTTACAGACATACCACCTCCTTTATTCTTTTGTCTCAGTTTGCATGCAAGGCAGCTCAGTCCTATCCTGAAATACTTTGCGTATATTTGTCTTCTACTGTAGACTAACTTCTGGTGTGGTCCCACTGTGCTTTCAAATTAGTTATTCTTGCAATGTTTTGATGATGTCATGGGGCAATACTGTCTTCTACAGATGAAAAATCAACGTGCTAGTTGTAGGCTCTTGCTCCTCAAAAAGGTATTTAAGTGCTGAACTGCTGTCAAGGTGAGCTAGGAATTAGCTCATATTCTCAATGAGCCGCAGTGCCTCATGTCCCAAATGCCAGGCCTGTTCTCTGCTCCACTGCGTGTTTTTGGTGAAGGTCTGTAGCTGTATTCCTCAAAGAAGTAAGAGCCAGGATCCAGCAAGTCGAGAGTGTGAAGTGTTGCATGCTATCTAGGGCTAGGGAGGTGTTGATCCTGTGCGATTTAGGTCAGGAAACAAAACATGACTGGATTTTTGTTTAACTAGGGAGTGTGTTTATGGTGTCTCTGTGCTGTTGAGGTTAGCTCTGTGAAGGACAAGCTGATGAGCTGTACTGACTGGCACAGAATACAAATGCTTCAGTGACTGCAAGCAAGGGCCCAGGTGGGCTGGTTCTGGCCACTTAGTGTTATATCTAACACCATCATTAGATTGCTTTTGGCTAATGCTCGACTTCTTTTTAGAGGACATCTCAGGCTTTTTATATATGAAACATCTTTTGTTACTCCAAAGGAGTTGCTGAATACAATAGACACAATAAAACAACCAAGCAAAAAATTCTACAAAACAAATGGAGTAAGTCACTGCAATGGTTGACTCCTTATTTTAGAAATAATTAAACATTCTGTCCTCCTGTTTGGAATGGATCAAGAGACTGGTTTAGACTGAAGAACACCTCTTCCTTGTGTCGGTTTGTCTCAGCCCACTCAGTGGGTTACAAGGAGGGTGAATCTTTTGAATTCCCCAAGGGCCTGTGTAGTGTGGGGGACAATCCAGTATCTGCTGGGCAGAAGGGCAGGGCAGGGTCGAGTTGAGACAGTGACTCAGAGGAACAATTTAGCTGTTACCTTTATGAACTGACAGTGAGTGAAGGGAGACAATTTGGCAACAATCAACTGATACCTTTTCTGAACTAATACAGGCACTTTGGCAAAGACTATTTTCCTAACAGCCTGTCACAATTTGTACAAAACTTATATAGCTGAATATACCTAAGAAGGAGGAGAGAGAAAGAGGAAAGAGGAATTGGGGAATCACCACCCTTTGGATCCTGTGTTGTCATAGAGTAGCAAGCTTGATCCCTAGGTGGTGGGTTGATTAGAAACACAGAGAGGGGTGTTGTCTTTATTTAGTCTTTCTTACACCTGCACAATAGGGTGTATTCCAGAAGGTTCTTGTTTTCTTTGGCTTGCCACGGCGCAGCTGGGCAAGTTCTGTCTCTGGGCAGCAACAGGAGGGAGAGAGAGAAACAGCCCCCTGCCCCACCTCCACAGAGCTTGCCCTGCTTCTCCCCCCTCCACAGGGCTCCCACTCCAGTTGAGCTACCCTGTTTGCAGTTTATGACAGGGCATAACAGTGGTGGTCCTTTCCTAGTTTATACTTTGATTTCTGATTGTGAGAGATACCTGCTAACTAGTCATAGTTTGGAACAGAAAATGCATCTTTCTGTTTTGAAACTATGGTTTATGCTTTTGATCTTTATGAAGACTAGCCCTACTTGCACTGCTACAGAATCTTGTAAAACGGGGTTATTTTTGGGTTCTGGTTTAACAGCTTACTTTTAGACAGCTAGTGCTGTGCTAAATTGCTTAGGGTGGTTAGAAAGTAACTACTCCTCTCTACGCTAAATGGGGTGCTGGCTGAATTATCATGGTTCTGTCTTTAGATTTAAAAGGATGTTTTATTCTTTTTATATAAACAGAGTAAAGTTGTTCTAGTTTTCACATGGGCTGTATCTTATTTCAGGAGGTTAAGAAGAAGTTGGAAACAGCAACTAATAACACCAAGAGCTGGAAAGATAAAGTAGCTCATCACGAGGGATTAATTCGACTAATAGAGCCAGGTAAGCTATCATCAGAAAAGATACAAAAAGTATGTATTCATTCTGTCTCACATACTTAGATCACCAAGTGACTTACTGAAGTCTGCCTTTTCCTGTAGCTTATTGGTTTCATGGCAGCCTATAAATATCACATTTCTGAGAACTGCTGGTGGTAACTTTCAAGTTTCTACCTCTACTGGCCTTACTATAATAATTGTAAATTATTATTTGTTTGTTTATTTTCACTTATTTCAAATTGAACATTGTATGGTTTGGGTGTTTAATGCAGTTAGCTATTTTCACGTTTTTGGCAATTAACATTTATACTAAAACATTTGATTTTGGGGAAATGTTTAATTTCTTAGCTTAATTAATAGCATGCTAGCCCTGAGGACAGTGGCTTTGTAATGCAGTGCTGAAGAGTTTGCTTTCCTTCAAGGACATCTGTAAAGGCCAGAAGAGGGGTTTACTAAGATACTGCTGTTTGGGGTGGGGGAGAAGTTGGGCGATGGGGATGCAGAAGACTGAAGCAGTTGAAAATTTCTCACGCAAAGCACCTTCACTGACGGTGACGCAGGCATTCCTCCCTCCTTGGTTAGGCAGGTCCTCGGCTCACCTCTGAGAGGGTTTCCAATCGCAGAAGAGACAGCACTTACCAAATCATCCTGTGGAGACACTTGGCCTGTCCACCCACAGTGGGTGAGCGATGTCCCTGTCAGAAGGGCCTGTTTCAAGTATCGCACTCTGTCTTGCAGGCTCCAAGAATCCTCACTTAATCACGAACTGGGGCCCGGCCGCCTTTACTGAAGCTGAACTCGAGCAAAGACAAAAGAGCTGGAAAGGGAAAAAAACAACTTCTGAGTAACAGCGGTAGCTGATGTATCGTTTGCGAACAGCAGCCCACCTTCGTTCGCTCTGCTTTGCGCAGAGCAGCTTCTTGCTTATAAAGATCTTAGTTTGCTCGGCAGGTTGGGCCTTTCTGCAAAGGAATTACTGTTTGCCACATAGGAGCGTCTACTCAGAGCTCAGTACTTAGATTATGTGGTGTCTGACAGTACTTGCTGTTTTCCCTCACATTTCTAGAAATTCTGTTCTTTTATACAAAACTTTTCAACTGAAGATTTTTATTTAAATGTAGCTTGTGACAGAGGTGTTTCTGTACTAGCCTGTAACAACCTGACAGCATCTAACCAATCAAGCAGTGTCACCTTCATTCCAAAAAGGGAAGCAATTTTTTCTTTGGTTCAGTTAGTGTAAATTAAACCCAGGATGAATCAGTCCTGGAGGTTCTGTTGAGCTCTGAGATAAAGCATTACCTTTCTTTCCTTTGAGTCTCTTTTTACTTTTCTCTGTCCCTCTGTTGCTCTTTGCACAGTGCTCAGACATGTTCCTCCTTTGCGAGGGTAGACTGGCATCACCAGGCACCTGCTGGCTGGTCTGATTTTGTGTCCTGTTTTCCTCTGTCTGCAGGAATCCAAACAAATAGAACTGGAAATAGGCATGTACAAAATGCTGCTGTAAAACATTTGGAAAAAGTAGTTCTGCAAGGTTGTTCTCGTACTGTCTTATACTCGAGAAGTGCTAAAAAAACCCTTGATAATTTTATTCATAGTTTAAAAGATGCACAGTTTTGACTTACAGATTTCTGGAGCGGATTACTGGAAGATGATAGCACATACAGGCCAAATACCATCTGCATCAAGGCTATGTTTGTACAAGAAATCTGAGTATAACATATCACCATTTTAGATGCAGCCCTTTTGTCTTATTCTTAACTGGAGGCTAGATTAAACAAAAAATGCAAGAGGAAAACTAAATTTGACATTTTTATTTTAGATAAAAGTGATAAATGTGTAGCAATAGTACTTTAGAAAAAATTAATTCTTGTCAGTAAAATAATTTCAGCATTTCTAGTAACAAAGCTTCCCAAAGAGCCTACTTGCTCTGCTCAAAATTTTCTCCAGGGACAGAGCCAGTTATTTCTGTTTCTGTAGGGAGAAGGAACAATTCTCTGCTTTTGCTCTGTAGAACTCCCACACCAGTCAAGGAGCCAGCCTATTACTAAGAAAACTGTACTCCTGCTGCATTGTACAAACGTTTTGAGAGCTAAGTTCCCCCTCCTGAAGAGCAGGTGCCTGTTGGTGTGGTTTGTTAGTCAGCTTTGACCTTTGTATGTGCACTGAACAGGGCCATCCATCTCTTAGCACCTGCTTTTTAGGTCAGCTAAATGTTAAATTATTTTTAGTAATTATTTTTTCAGATGGATAACCAGTGCATTTGTGTACAGCAGTGTCAAACTTGGATCTCAGAAAAGCAGAAACTGTACAGGAGTGATCTTCAGATTTGGAAGTGAATAGCATTTTATTTGCCTAATAACTAAGACTCACTCAAATAGTGAATCTTCTCAGACATTTATTCTCTGGTTATATTTTTATACTAATTGAAATCTTTAATATTTTAGTAAAAGGAGTGCTGATTAGAATGGCAGGAAAATCCAGAATCTTCCTTTTTGTATTTACTGTACAGGAAAGCAGTAGTTTCGTAAGCTTGCTAACGTGGCATTTTTTAAATTGATTATGTTTACAGAAGAAATGTGAAAAAACTATAATAGAAATACTAATGTATACATTGTTAAACTTCGCTAAAGGAGATGGAACAGTATTTATAACTACCAAACATATTTTATGTGGAGAGCGGAATGTGTATTGGGGCTAAACTTGCTTAATTTTTCTAACAGTCTTTATTTGGACAAATGTTTTTTTTAAGAACACCAAAAGATGCATGTTTTCATATTTTTTACTGTTCTCTAGAATTGGCTATTTAATAAAGTAATGCAAAGTTAGTTACATTTCTGAATTAATTGTTGTCTTTTTACATGGATTTCTTTTGGGTTACTGGAGTTGAGAATCCAGTAACCATTGTGTGGAAGTATAACTGTGATGGAAGAAATATACTCCTAAGGGTCTGATTAATGGCATTTAGATTAAAGCCATAATAAAATCATTGGTCACTCGGGTAATACAATGTAATTAACAGCACCACTTCTCTTAACAGTTCTTATTCAGTACACCTTGATACAGGATAATGATGCTCAGCTCTTACAGGCACCATTGCTCAATGACAGTATTTTGGGGGTGCAGTTTAGCTGTTCTCTGAAAGAGAAAGCATGCCAGGTGGGAAGGGAAGTGATAGATGTACAGTGTGACGTACAGATGTACACATCACTGCTTAGTGTGTGAGCCTGGGGCAAGGGCAGCCCTGCTCTTACCAGTGAGCTACCGGGGCAAAACCACTGCAGAGTGAGCATACCTTGGCACAGTCAGACATGGGCCTCTGCAGGCAAAACAGCCCTTCATTAAGATGTCATCCGCGTACGTCCGTCTTGAGTTATTTCTTAGTCACTATTAGAAGAGGAAATGAGACAAATATCCTTTTAGCTTTGGTGTTCCTACCTGCTCTGACAAATTAAGAAAGCTTTGGGTGAAGCGTTACATAGTAAAAGTAGGGGAAGAAATTGGTTTAAAAATTAACCAATTGCATTTTGAGCAAAAACACCACTTCAGACTAAATCTGCTAAAGCTACACTAACACCACAGTCAGAGAGAGCAGGGCTGTGACTCAGTCACTGCATCTCATGAAACAGAACAGCCTGGAAAGGTACCCCTGGTGCGGTATCATTTCTGGTGAGCCCAGAGTTTACAGCACTCCTCCTCCAAGAGCAGCGAGGCTGCTAATGGTGAGGATATTTGCAATAAAATGTGATGCTATGGACGTCGCCGTTCCACCCCAAGAAGCCTTGCAACATCATAGTGCTGTACATACAAGCCGGACTTACCGAGACAGAGGCCAGTGGAAAGCTGTGGATGCTGTTCCTGAATCCTCCGTAAGAGGCCTTGAGGGCTTAGGGCGCTTGTTTCATCTGCCAGATGCAGGTTTCCCTCCTCCTGATGGTGGAGCAATCCTGCAAACCCATAGCACAGGACCATGCTTTTTTTACCTCAGACAGACAGGACTTTTTTTTTTTTTTTTTTGCCCTGTGACCATGTCGTGGAGCTGGTTTATGGTCCTTATTCACCCATTCCCAAACTATAACAGGCAGGTTTCCAGCAACTCGTACTATGTCTGTAACTTTCCTGCACAAACAGCCACACAAACAAAGCAACAGCGTGTTGTTAGGACAATATCTGTATCCTGGGGTGGGGGCAACCCAATGCCAGAAGCAGCAAATGTTCAGTCATGCAGACCTTCTGGAACAGTAGCCGCACCATCCATTCCAGTAAAAGTCAACTGAAAATAACTGCTCTGATTTTTATCTTGAATTTGTGAAGCAGTTATAAAGTAAACAATTTTGAGCAAAGTGGTGCATGGCCAGGAAGGGGGATATCCGTAAGGACTTTCAGCTGCTTTGAGGAGAGATGTAGTCACTTGTTCATAAAGGGCACAAAAGGGAGGAATTATAACGTGCCATAAAGTTGTCTCGAACTGAATGAAAAATCTCCCCCCAACACCAGCAAGATTTTAGCTCCCCCACTCCTCAGTTCAGAACTTTCCAACTCGGCCTGTGCCAGGCTGGTGGTTTGATAATTGTGCCTACCTCTCAGTTTTTCTTCTTTTCTCGCGCCGCGGTGGGAGCCCCGCCGCCCCCCGCCCCGGCCGCTCCGGCGGGCTCGGCGCGCCCCCCCGCGGCGGTAACGGGCCCTCACCCCCCGCCGGCCGCGGGGTCCCGGGGCAGCGACCGCCACCCACCGCCTTCAGCCCCCGCCGGGCCGGCGCTAAGCGAACCGGCTCTCCGGGTGTTTCAGCGATACCTCCCCCTGCCCTCCTCCAGTTCTGTGTGTGGTTCTGTGCTCGGCTCAGTGCAGCTGATCCCAGCGACGTCCTGTGAGCCTAGGAAAAAGGATTTTACAAGACGAGTGTTATCACTGGCCCAGGATAAATTGATGCTCAGAGACTTGAAGCTAATTCAGGCCTATTTTCCAAAAAATCCCCACCCCGCTGCACTGCGGAAGGACGATGGGTACAGTCAGATACATCATCCAGCAAGCTCTCAGCTGCAGCACAAAGCTTGGGCTGCCACACAGCTTTTCTAAGGAGAGTAAAGCAGGGCGAGTTAAAAATGTGTAAGGAAGGTTACTTATCTGGAAATAGCGTTTTCCCAGGTGCCTCGTGTACGTGCCTCGTGTACATGCCTCCTTTATCCTTTACCCCATCCCGTCCTCCCTCATCCTACTGAACGGTGCTCATTGACTTGCAGGATAAAAAAGCCCCGAGGTTGCAGGAGTAGGGCTGAAAGAAATATGTGCAATGTGCTGGCTCACATGTACTTCTCTTTTGGGAGCAGGACCCAGACTCATCCCGGGTCACAAAGGGGAGGGAGGGGGGAAAAAGAGACCAACCTGTGGTTTGAGATACTTTGGGGCTTCCCACGCAGCAGGGTGAGCAGCCGTACAGACATCGTGTCTTGAGGACTTCCTGTTACTGATGATGTGGCCCTGAGTTCCAAAATAAAACACAAACAGAAAGTTTGTAACACTACATGAATTTAGAGAGTATCATGACTTTCATACAGTGAGTCTCACTGTGAACTTCAACTTCAGTGCCAGGGAAGTGAAAGTGCAGAAAAGCACTGTTCTGTGAACTGGCTTTCTGCGTATGTCAAAAGTACACGTCCTGCAAAATGGAAAGGCCAGTGGTTGATTCAACACTTAAGATGAAAAAAAGACTTGGAAAAAGGTAGCTGCTTCTCATCTCCAAAATAAATTAAAATTGGAACAGTATGATGCAAAACAAAAGATAAAAACATCCTGAAAAGCCTTGAGAGAGAGATTAAACGAGGCAGTTTTTAACACCTACAAGCACAATCCCAGCAAGACTGCTTGATGAGAGCCCCTCTCCCCACTTCTTTCTGATGTTTTAGCCTAATTGACAGAGGTACTGTAAAAAGATATGAGCAGCTGGCCAGAGGAAAGCCCATGACAGATTGCGCAGAACGTTGATTAAAAAGAAAAAAATAAAATCACAAACCCAGGAACAATTGCACTCACTTTTCCCTATCAGTCACTATTTTAAATTCCTTAATAAATAAACACAAAAAGAATAATCCTTTCTACCTTAATCAGTGTGCTGATTGCTCACATTGCTTTTCTGCCTGTCGAAGGAGCTTGATCTAGCACCAGCTTTATACACTGTTATTAATAACACTGCTAATTAATAGAGCTACTTGACATGGCTACAGCACACTAACAACTTTTACAGGATTTGGGCCTAGTAATGTCTTCATGAAACTTCACCTGCCGCTATTCCTCTTGTCACCTGTTTTTACTGTCACACAGCGATTTGCTCAGGCAACGCAGATTTCACCCCAGGGAACCTGCCAGGGTGTTTGTGGGTACGTTTGAGCGTGATTCTTGCAGGTCTGTGTCAGCTGCTCTCACCCCCAGTTGCATAAGGCTCCTGTGGCCCTTCACCTAACTTGGCCAACAAGTCTAATTTGAACATGTTAATATCTCAGATGGGATTAAAATCTCAAGCATTGACACGAGACAGTTTCAAAAGTAGCCTGGGCTTCCCCTGGTGTTGGCATTTATTAGCTGTTTCAATGCCTACCAGAGCATGGGGATTTCTCTTTCTACTCTGAAGAGGCTTGTGCAGCTCAGCCCCAACACAGCGTGCAAGCACTGGGGAAGCCCAAGTCATCTAAGGGGTCAGTTTCTTGGTCCTGACTAAAAAAGGAAAAAACACTTAAACTATTTAAGGTCAGACTCTGCTTAGACACCTTCAGAAAGTCCCTTTCACAGCATATCTGGGACTGAAATTTTCCATTTGGAGCAGCCTAAGATTGTGTTTTCCCAACTGTTTCCTTTGCATTGGGCCATTTTGTTCTTTCCAAGCTGTGAAGCTGACCGCCACGTCATCCTGCGAGGAATGAGCATGCCTAATTTTGCAGTCAGGATTTCCCCCCTGCCTGAAAGACTGTGTTGTCCTTGGGCTGCCTTTTCCCAGAGAGAAGGTGGGAAATGATGGGGGGGGGAGTGGGGTACAGCCTGCTCACACACAGGTCCCCCCCAAAAAGCTGAGCACTGTGGCAGGGCCCAGGCACTCAGTGCAGGGCTGCTCCCTGTGGGGATGGGGTGGCATCTTCTGCGTTTGCCGTTTCACTTTAGTGTGGCCACTGCCCGCCTGTGAGGGTTGCATGGTGCCCAAGGGGGTCGCTGCTAGCCCGTGGACCACCCTGGGGCTGGCCAGAAACAACCATCGCCCCAAGCCCGGTCTCACAGTACAGCTGTACATGGCCCTGCTTGCAAAAGAAACTTGCCTGGCCGTGCTTCTGCATGCTGCCTTTGCTGCCACCATTACAGATGGCAAGAGACAAACCCACAACTGCTCCCAAGCCACCTTTGGCCCACAGATCCTCCCTTGCTGGCAGGAAAAAGTTCAGGGCATATTTTCCTTGAAATCATATTTCCAAGGGATGAGCAGCCAAGGTCTGGGTGCAGGCGTGGGGTGCAGTACAAGAACCATCTTGGCAGAACAGCTCAGCAAAGGAAAAGGGAAAAAGAAAACCACATGGGGTGCCAAACGCCCTCACCAGCCCGGACTGCTCCCTGGCATTTCTGCTGTCTCTGCCGAGTGTGGAGCAGTCCTGCACATCTTCAAAGACAGCTCTGCCTCTGCTTCCCCTCCTCACCCTCCTCTGACCAGTTGCTCCTACCGGTGTCCCTGCCACCCAGCTGAGAGTGTACCAGCTAGCAGGCATTTACTACCCAGCAAATCAGACGCGCTCTGTTGCTGCAGTCTGGCACAGCTATTTTAGCAGAAAGCTCCTGGGCGAGCGCCGGGCAGCGTGCGCCGAGCCCACACCACCCCCAGGCGAGTGGTGCTGCACGACCACTCGCTGCCCTTCCTGTCTTCTGTTCTTTTCTCGTTTCTATCTCTCCCCGTCCTGACCTGCCCCGACTCCCTCTGTGCCGAAGCAGGGTGAGAAGACTGACACGATTTTTCCAAAGCCCTCGGCTAGTTCTGGGACCCACAGCACAGGACTCCGGCAGGCCAGCCAGGCAGCAGCAGCTGCTCCCCCAGAGACGGGGAGAACAATAAGAAATACCAGATCTGCCGCAGGAATGCGTGAGATACCGTGGCGGGGGGCCCTGGTGAGTCTGGGCAGGATTTGCTCACGGCTTGGACGCAGACCAGAGGTCGCCACTCGAACAGCCCTGTCGTCGGGCCGGGGTGGTTCGGGGGATGCTCCGCGGGGCCCTGCCCCGCCGCGGCCCCGGACACCAGATGGCAGCCGGACACCGCTGCACGGCCCGCCGGAACCCTCACCGCAGCAAAGCGTCTCCTCCGCAGGCCTGTAATTAATCACATCTGCGGATCCTGTTTCGAAAGGCAGATTCACCCAGATGCGGTGCTACACGGGTTTTTTTACAGCTGAGTTGGTAGCATGCTCGGAGCTGCGTCACTTGTGTACGTGCAGCAGCACACTCCTACTGCAGGAGGAAAAACCCACTCTGCAAGGAAAGCACGCAGAATGCCAAACCAAAGCCTTTTCTTAGGGTCTGCATGACTTATCTCTCCCAAGAAAAGTAAAAAGACTGAGGACCAGGCAGATTACGAATTACAAGGCAGTCAGCATGCCCTGTCATTACAGCTTGGTGGGCTTCCACCTAACAGCAGCGACAGATCTCACCCCCTCCTGTGCTCTAGGCATATTGGTTACCCTGTTTTATGCAGGTGACTGAAACCAGGGTCTGCACCCACAGCCGCAAAGGCCTGACACTAATTTGAGAGTCATACAGTTACCCTATTGGGTAACATTTTCCCTCAACAGTTTATGAACTTTAATCCAATTTTGAAATGTAGGGGAGGCTAAGTTGGATTACAATAGCTCAACTGATCATGTCATAAACTCTTGAAAAGTGGGACTGGAGGGTTTTTTCCTCCAGAAACCTTTTGTTGGCCCACAAAATCCTTGTTTTTTTCTTAACTCAGACACCAAAAGGGGGAGGTTTTCAACTTTCAAAAATAAATCAAAGACATCATTATGCCTGCAGGGTATTTGTTTCTCCATAGGAACGTGAACCTGGTGGTTTAGTTTAAGAGAGACTAAGCTAACTCTCACATTTTCTACATTCCTCCTTTTCCTGATATATCAAGATCGACAGGTTTGAACTGTTGTTTTAATGAAAACCTACTACTCCTGAGAGGGTTTCCTGTTTTAGAAAGATGATATTTCAGAGCTACAAAATTCCAAGCAATCTGACTTGCTATCACCTTTGTCAGGTCCCTTAACCTCCTTATACCTCAGTTGCCCATTGATGAAACGTGAGTGATAGTTATATGTAAAAAAAGCACACAGTCTAATAAACATCTGCAAAATACCCAGCTAGCCCTAAAAAGAGAGCTAAGTGATACTATGATAAACTGAAACTGTGTCCACAAGGTGTAGATCAGAAATTGCTGTGTGAGGACTTGGAAAGGGCCACATGTACCAGGGCAACACCTGCATAACCAGTGCCCCCAGCACCATCCCCTGCCAGCCCCTCACAGGGGCACCTACAGCTCTTCCACCTTCACACACAATCACTGGCAGCCAGAAAACCTCCTCTGAGCTCTTGGGTAACAACCACAAATTGAAGCAGCCTCTAGCTCTCTAATGAACTGGAGCTAAATCACCACGTAGCTACCCCTGAAGAGTGAGGAAAATTAAGCCAGTAGTCATAAAGTCACGCTGCACTCTAGCCAAGCCCTCTTTCATCATCTCTAATTCAGGCTGCTGAATTAATCCCAGGTAGGTCTCCCCCTCCCTTGTGCACACGGAGCTCCAGAAACATCCTGGGGTAAATCTAAACATGACTGACCTGGACATTGCATGGAGAGTTTTCAGAGCTTAAACTCTGCACCTCAGAGCAACAAGTTTTGCAGGTAGGTGCATATCACTTGTTGACTCCTCGAGTATTTGTGTTAAACTTGCAAATACAACAGGACTCCCTGAATATGTTTTTGGTCTTGGAAACTGATCTTCAGCTCCCAGATTTGTTAATGCTGCAATCAAAAACGTTGTCTTCACTCCCCCCCCCCCCCCTTGTCTGCTGAAGGCAATTAGGATTTTCCAACTGTTTAAACAATTTAGAAGCTCTAATATGTAAAAACACTTCCCTGTGTTACAAAAGTTTCTCTGAATTGTAAAATGCATTACAAAGGGAAGGGAGTCAGTCCCTTGTACACTGCTTGGGCTGCTCTCCTGGCAGAAAATGACCACTGGCAGCTTGCAAGGCATGGAAAAAAAGACTTATTGCCCAGATCCTGGTAACACTGTCAAAGCTGCATAAACTGGGCAAATTGGCAGTAATTTCTCAGCACTAGTACCTGGAGGTGCAGGTCTGCTGATGTCAAGGCTGTCATTGTTATTGCAGGGCTCACAGCTCTCAAAACATTTTATCTGGAAGCCCTAGTCCAGTCCACTGCACAGAAAAG